ACCAAAATTACTCTTGCTAACGTCACCAGTTGCCTTCATGATTCTAAATGCAACTGATTTTTTAAAACTATTCATACTGGGCCTCCACACAGCTTTCAACATTGTTGACTACTCCCTCTTTCAGGAGTAAAACATTTTCCTCTCTTGGCTTCCATGGAACTATATTCCTCCTTCTCTATGGTCATGCTACCTTTTTAACTTGACTATACAGAGTTGTTTCACATGTGGAATTAACTCAACAACTACTGGTTTTAACCACCAAAGCTGTTCAAGATGAAAACCTAGAAATTATTCTTAACTTCTTATTTTGTCATCCTCTATAACCAATCCATCAACTCTGCTGCAAAAATTATCTTTAATCTATCCATATTTCTCCATCTTTCCTATAAAACATAATCAAAGCCACCATGATCTCTCATCAAAACCTTTACAATTGTGAAAGCTACCACGATCACTCACCAAAAGCTTTGCAACTGCCTACTAATGGGTTTCTCTGCTGTCACTTTTGCCTTCTTTCAATCCAGTGCTCAATTTATGCAATGATAGCATGGTGTAGTAGAAAAAGTACAACTTTAAGAACCAGACCTGCCACAAGGTGCTCAAATTGGTTAGCGTCTAAATCTTAGTTTTTTCAACTACAAAACAGGGATAAAACTACTTATCTGACTGGAAGGATATAAAGAAAAGATATAATTTATGTAAAGTACTTTCCTTAGTGTTGCAAAGCCACTCAAGTAGTAGCTCCTCCTACATACAAAATAAAGTCCAAATTCCTCTTCAAAGACTTCCAGATTCCAGGTCTAATGTACTGATTCACAAATGTTCCTCAACATAAAACACTGCTCAGGTTACAGAGTAAATTTCTTATTTTTACCTTAAATTCATGAGTAAGTAATACCAAAACCAAATCCACTGCCATCAAGTTGATTCTGATTCATAGCAACCTCATTTGGACATCCAATTACCCATAGACAAGTTGAAAAAAATTTTAAAGTAAATTTTAGTTCTCTTTCATTAAACTTTATAGAGTATATATACAACTGTATGAGTTTGTTTGTTAGTTTTTCAAAAAATTTAATAATCTAATTACTAAACTCCAAAAATGTTTTAAAGTATTAACATAAATAGCTGTAAAGTAATTTGTATAAAAGGAGTGATTAAAAACATGTCCTATATTAATGAAATATATGATTATGAAGTTATTCTGCTTCAATACTTGCTTTTTTCTTTGTTTTTTCAGGGGCTGGAGAGCAAGTTTTCTTACCAAGTGCAAGTTCAGAAGCTGCATTATCTATACATAAATAAAAACATACTTCAGTATTCTAATTCCTTAACCAGCCATTGATTAGAAATATAGAGGACAAGAGACCTCAAACCTTGACAAACTAATTTTAATCTGTGCCTTTATAATAGTTTTAAAAGAAAAACTTAGTATATGTTGACTACATGACTTACTACAGATACAAGAAATCCTTAAAAATATCTTTATCTGAAGAGCTCCAGCTTTCACAGAACTAAATAAAAGTTATTCCCTGCAATTAGCATAGAAAATTGTACGTGATTAAAACTCTTCATTCATCAAAACTCTCCTGTATTCTCAAGCTTCCCTTTCTACTGCAACTCTAAAATATGCCCAGGCCTCTTTTCACCTTACAAAAAACTTTTCCTGTACTCCACATCTCTGTCCTGCCACAACCTTTTTGTCCATAGGTTGGTTTTTTCAAAGAATTATCTACACATATTAACTTTACTTTCTCCCCTCCTGTTTACTCCCAATCCCAGAGCAATTCAATTTCCACCTCCACTAGCATGAGCAGAAATCCTTGTTGTGCTTACCTCACAGGGCCTCAGCACAACGGGCATGAACATCTTCCCTCTTTGGCCTCTTCTATGGCTCCTCTCCTCTTGACTCTTACCTTCTCCTCACCCTTTAGATTCACTCCAAAGCAACATATACTGATGTCTGCTATAAGCCAATTCTAACTATCATAAGTACTTAATATTGCAAATTCAGCTATTCTTTACTCTTAACATCACCACTTTGGTTTAAGCCACCACAAGTTTTCTCTTTAGATTATTCCAACAGGATTTCAATTCACCTCCCTCTGCACTCCATTATCTTCCTTGTATACTTGAAATACATACTAATATATAATATAATATGCTTAAAACTCTTCAAAGGCTTTCCACTGCCCTCAAGCTTCTTTTTTTAATTTTTATTTTATTATTTTTTTTTTTCAAGCTTCTTAACTGGCATATTAAACACTGATTTTTTATGATCCCTGTGTTGTTACACATTTCTCAGCAAATAGGGCTACCTGGATAAAGTACAGGGCACTCAGTTCAATCTGAATTTCAGATAAACAACGAATAATTTTGAAACATAAGTATGTCTCACATGATAAGTATGTGCTAATCTGAAATTCAAATTTAACTAGTCATCTTGTATTTTCATTTGCTAAATCTGGCAACTCTAGAAGCCAATCACTCCTCCTATCTTCACCTTCAAAGACAGAGAGAAGTAAGTGGTTGGAGAGCTCTTTAGGAGGTGTTCTGGTTACCTAGTACTGCTCTGACAAGAAATATACCACAAATAGGATCGTCTTAACAAACAGGAGTTTATTATTACAATTTGGAGGCTTTAAGTCCAAGTTCAAAGTGCCAGGCTCTAGGGGCTGGGTGAAAGCCCCTCAACCTTGGGG